CCTCACAACAGCCAAAAGCAGACAACTATAGGGAAATAGGAAAATACTTGCTTGTTGAATATTCTCTGCATTTCCAGCAACTTATAGCTCCAGGACTTTCTGAGCTTTAAGTGGCATGTTTAATAACCCTTGGTAGATTTCTCTTCCATGAGTCTAACCAGTGTCTCCTTAACTCCATATCAATTTTTAGCATCCGCAACATCCTGGTATGAATAAAACTTTGTCCCTAAATATCTTATGACTAATCAAACCTTTAAGAAGCTTCACTGACTTCTGAACTCCCATAGCAGCACTTAATTTGACTATTAGTTTAATTTACCATAATCACCTTTCACTGCTAGTATTTTTACTCAAAGCAGTGTACCCTACAGATGGTTCTCTAGCAACACAGGCACATGATTTCCCTTCACTTGAACTCTTCATTAGGTTCAATGCATGACATTAAATACCAGTAGTATGTGGAAAGCTATAAAGGAACATCAGTGAAATGGTGAGGGCTGAAAAAATTGGATCAGAAGGGTTTAAAGACGTATCAAGGAAGGAATGGGTGCAACACAGAAAACAGCTGAGTGAATTTATTCAGTCCTGTTGTTGCTGTTGAGATAAAAAGTAAGAATATAGATAAAACCTCACAGTAAACCCTCTCTCTCTTCTTGACTTACTGAGGTTTAAACTGTCACAAATGTGTGATCACATCGATCCATAAGAAACATTGCTGATTCACATACACACAAAGATTCAAGAATACTTGGTGACCTTAGTGACATTCACATTTTAAAGTGAAATATCAATGCTTTCTTGTACTCTATATTAAATCTAATGACCACAGGGATTAGTCATTTACAGTCTCCTTTCATTAGCTAATGCTGTAGTGCCCCATGAGCGTGCTGGATTTTCATGACCTTAAATGACAGGCTGACTTGTGTAGCTGTAGCAAGCAGCAAGGCTGTAGCAAGCTCAGCTGCTCTGCAGAGGTTAACACCTGGGCAAAGATTAGCAGAAATAATCAGCTGCAATTAATGTATTTTTTTAGACCCAACCTAAATTGTCACTGACGGAACCAGTCCTTAAATGCGACATGGAAATTAGCTTTCCTAAAAAATTAGCAACAGAATAGACCTGAGCAGGTGATCCACGGGTCATCTGTGAAATATCCAGTTTGGTGAAATCAGTAATTTAACTGTGACTCAAATTATTAAGTATATAGTGTTATTTCTTAATTAGTGCTGTACCACATAGCAAGCAGAAGGTTATGTAAAACAAGAAGCAGCTTCTAAAGCAATAAAGATACCTATTATGAGTTCTAATCACTAAAGAAAACATCTTTTGTAAGGTTTTAAATATAACTCTCTTCCTTTTCAAATCTTCTGATGAGCTATTACTAATGTCGAAAGGTGATGCCTGTCAGCCAAGAATTACATTAAAGTCCATAATTGAATTCCAAGAGTTGTCAAGAGCAGGCTAATAAAATAGCTGCTACTAGAAATGATGTATGGAAAAAAAAAGAAAGTTCTGGTCTGGCCGGATGCAAAGTATGTTGTGTGGTTTCCCTGTGTCATTTCAAATAATATGTTCAATTTTGCTGGGCTACATTTGTCTGACATTCTTCTCTTGTAAAATAATGATTCATTACATATAATTTATTCAAGGATTGTAGCTCACCTCTAAGTGCCTATAAATATTACTGCAGCTAGACATTTGCATTGTAAAACAAATGCGTTAACACTGGGATTTATGAAGGATCCTTTTATGTTAGTTCCTTGACAGGAAAGATAGATTTTTTTAAAAGTAAAACACTGGCTTTAAAATCATCTTTAAAATCTAGCACAGGAAACAATTAACAGGTTTTCCTTCCCTGTGTTGTTTAGGTAATTTGACAATTTTAGGGAGGGCTGGGGGGCAAAGTATTTCTTGGCCATTCAAAATGGATACAGCTATACCGTTGTTACATCAGTATTACTGGGAAGGTTCCCATGGTTATGATGGCAATATATAACACCTACCCTCCCACTGCTTCACAAAAGCATCAGCCATCTCTGAGTGAAGCTCTTAGAGGTGGTGGAAGGCAGACAGACGACACTTCGATGAGGAACTGTGAAAGAAAAACAGTCCCAGCTGGAATAAAGGCTGCACATTGTGTCACTGCACCAAGTGGTGTTAATGAAAGGGTGTGGGATGCTGGTGTCCTTTATTGCCCCTGCTAAAATGGTATGTGGATATGTACCAATTCTTCTAAAAACGGAGGAAATCCAATGCAAGTTGACAACGTTCATCTAGGGCAGACCAAGTTGTGAGAAGCTGGTACCACAGTGATGTCCTGATGTGTCTGGGCAGAGTTGTTCAGTCTAGAAAAGAGACTGAAAGAAATACACTTTGTTCTCTTTCTGTGGTGATGAGAATTAGAAGTAACGAGCTCAAGTTGCAGGAAGGAACAGTTATGTCGAACAGTAGGAGAAGATTTCTAAAAGGATGGCAAAAAATTGTAATGGCACACCCAGGGGGGCTATGACATCTCCAGTGCAGCTCTCCAGCCAGGCAAACTTTTTAAGGATAGGTTAGAAAACTGCCTATGAGAGATAACACAGGCATAATTATTGCTGCTGCAAAAATAATTCAGTGCCCAAGCTCAGGTATCTCTCCAGCCTAACCGTGTTCAGCCACCAGGTCCTGCTCTGGCACCTGCCTGCTCTTCCAGATGAAGCCTCACGTCAGTAACACCTTGACCTGGCCAGTAAGAACTGCCACCAGCAGGACACAGGCCAGGTGTTCCTGATCAGGGCAGGATGGTGGACAAAATGGTCTTCCCAGGCCACTGCCAGCTCTGTTTTTCTATGATTTTTCTAATTTACTTCAGGATATTTTAATCATTTTCCTTTGCTGATCCCCCACTAAGGGTGAAGATCTGCACTCAGTCTACTGATCATTAAATCCATGGCTCTCGATGTGGTGGTTTTAGCAGTGTTCAGGCCATGTAATGGGCTGTAGGCCAAAAACAGAAACACAAGCAGTGTCCCCAAATAGTGCTGAATAAAGCACAGATCAAGATTCCTCAACCTTCAGTTAAATACACAGTGGTTGTTCATGACACCAGTGCAACAGGAATTAATTTCTGAATTAATTTCTCCTGCCTGCTTTTCTCTGCCTGCTCTCTGGAAAGTAATTTATTTTCTCCTCAGTGCTTTTGCTCTCCTTTTGCAAGATGTGATAAACAAGCTTATTAATTGCACCAGGGTACTGTGAGAACAGACAGGATCAGGTACTACCTTTGCCCATATGTAGTTTTACCTTTAGCTGCTCTCAAAGGAAAGAGGAGCAGAGCTACATTCTTGGTTTTATACTTATTTACACGGGGTGTTAGCTGAGCATGCACTTTAACACCATGTAATGCTGAATCCATTAAACAGAATCCATCCTTTGACTCTGGTTTGCTGCTACTGTACAATCTAGAGAAAAACAATAACAATAACACCTGCAGGTTAGTAAAATATTTTATTGTACTGAAACATACTGTACATACATGACAGCCAATGGTTACCTTTTATCTGTCCCATCAAACCAAAATACCTTTATCATATTTTCCATTGGCTTAAAAAGGAAATAGTACTAGAGATAATTTCATTAATAAAAATATATATATAATTCTTTCTGTTTATTTTGTTCTGTATTAGAAAGGCAAATTTGGGCATAGTGATATGGCTTAAATATATTAATATTTTCCCTCCGGGGAGCTTGTCTTCACATCTGGATAGAACACACACGGAATGAGTTCAGGAATATCTTTTTACATGATGTCAGGTATCAAACCCACATCAGATGTAAATTCAGCACGTTCAACCAGAATGCCTGAGCTGGGGAAGAATGGGCGTAGTCTGGGGTGCCTGTTCTACCATGTTTTTCTTCTCCTGTATATTACAATTTCTCCAGTATATTTTCTTCCCATTTTTTCCTCTGGATAATTCCAAGTTTGCCCTCCCTTCTTTTAACCACTGCCATAAAAATGAACAAACCACTGTTCTATCAAAAAACCTCATTTTAGTTTAGTGGAATTAATCACCATGGCTTCTTCTTTAAGTTCTGGAAGAAAGAAAGGAGGAAGATAGTGAGTGACTCCAGAGAGCGATTCAGAGCTCCTCCATTAAGACACCTGCACTGAATCACCTCCTGGAGAAATTTCTTTCTCTCCACTAACTACAGTGGAAGCCCAGGAAGATTTGGCTGGAAAAAATAAGCCCTTGTGAATCTTGAGTAGGTTCAGAAGGGCCCTACAGCATCCAAACCTCCTAACACACTGCAACCTCCGCATATGTCTGGAGCTGCACTCTTAGCCATCTTCAGTCATTTGTATTCTCCCCAAGGGCTAGAGATGCATAGTGTCTCATGTTTGCAGTCCTACAAGTTCCCTTACAAGTTGGCATTTGCCCAACAACAAAGGCAGCAGATTGCCAGGCTTAGCTGGGATTTCAGTGTTTCTCTGAGCTACAGAGGAACTGTTACCTATACTTAACAGTTCCTGGTTATAAATTGCTGAAATATCAGTCAGGGAGGAAAGGGCTGCTACAAAAATGCATAGGATAAAAGGAAAATGACCTTTCCAGTGAGCTGAAATACACTGTCTAAAATGTCAGGAAGAGCATCCTGTCCTGCCTCAGACCATTTGTTGGACACTATTCACAGCTGCCATGTGTGCAACATGCTTACCATTTTCAGTCAGGACTAAACTGGCCAAAACTGCACTATGTTGATATTGAAATAGTAGTAGAGAATCTGTAGTGCTGTGTCCTGTCCACATTCCCTGTAAAACCCTGAAAATCTAAGGCAACATTATACCACAACTGTATTATTTTTGAGCCCGTGCTAGTCAAACCTGCTGCTCTCTATATGATGCCACACAAATGAGCACTGTGACAGCAAAGAGATCTGGTCAATTCTTGCTACTGTCACTTGAGCTCACTGGGAGTTTAGGCCAAGAAGGCATCATTACATCTTAAAAATAGATATGTTCAGAAAAGACTTGCATCTTGGTTGTTGACAGATTCATTTTCCTGAATATACTGGAGAATGTCCACTTCATTCATTGTCTGAATCTTGTTTTCCTTTGGCTTTGCCAGTGGAGATGAATTAGTGTTCCTGGGGGCAACTGCTGGCTTCTGAGGCACTGGTGGTTTTGATGGTACCTTAGGTTTCGGTTTGGAGGATATTTTCAAGAGTTTCTCTAAATCATCTTCAACTCTGGAATAAGAAGAAAACATCAGTAACATTTCTTGGTTTGTAAGAAAATGCACTCTTGCAGAATAAAACTTTCAATGTTAACAAAATAAGAACTGTCTATTTAATTGTAATTTTTCTGTTCACCATGCAAGTTAATTAATTTCACAGCATGTTTTCAAATGTCTAATTTAAAAGCAATTTGCAATTATCAAAATAAAAACAATTTGATTTTAGTTTGGGGGGAAAAAAAAGCTTTTGTTTTTTGTCTGGATGGTTTGCTTCCTCAAGAGCTCAGAAATTTTCATGGGATAGTAAAATTTTTCATATTCAGCACTGCTTGCTCTTCATCCCCATCCCCCAAGACTGAGACTGAGCATCTCCCATGCTCAATCATGAGAAACTAGAAAATCCAATGGCTTTAAAAACATGATATTCACAAATGCTTCCAAGAAACTGAAGGACTTTTGCAATCTGTGAACGTATACAACATGTCTTTTTTGGCAACTATTTCACTAGGAAATAGTCCTTAAGTATGCTTTCTACCTCGATTGTTTGACCTTATCAAAAGACACAACGATGCTGTGTCTGCCCAGCTCTGTTCCCATCAAAGCTGTTAAAAGATTGTGAGCGAGCCCTTTTAATAGATAGTCTTGTGACTCCAAGAGGTAGCTGCCTTTGGAAAGTGAGTATGTGAAGGGAAAGAAGGCTGTGACACATTACATCTCCAAAAGATATAGCAGAGACAGCGAAGTAAAAGTCAGCATAGCTAGAGGAGTCTTTACAGGCCACAGTAATTTCTGCTCTGAATCAAAACAGCCTCTTGTTTTGGTTCTCTGAGCACAGTGGTCAAACAAAATAGTGTAAGGATTAAACACAGTTGTTCATTTCCCAAAAGGCTGATTGATAAATAATTGTTGAGCAGTCAAAACCCAACCAGCAATCTATGCAGATCATCAGCTGTGTAATGACCAGCTATGAAAGTGAAGCCCCTGATAAAATACATACCTCAGTTACGCTTACAAAACACGACTTGCAAAAGGCTCCACCCCGAACTGTCACATACAAAATCAAGAAAGCTAAAGCGCAAGAAGTGCAAGAAAAACTTTTACATGGGGCACCAGGAGCTAAAGATCGAGGAACAGCAGGTTTGTAATACGTAGGTATCTCCTTGCCAAACCCCACACTTACTCTACAACTGTAGCGTCTTAGGCAGTGAAATGATTTAACTGTTTAATTGTTTACAAGCACTGATATTAGAATTGTTTTTACCAAACTTGAGTAACAACTGAAACAGCCCATTAGGCTGTAACAGTGCCTGCTAAAGTGCCTTTGCCTCAGCTAAAGGGAAGCCTGACAGGGAAGCTACAAATGAACTAGGAGACAAAATTAAGGTGCAGGAGTTATTTTAAAGGGACTGGAATATTTCTTCAGTGCTAAAATTCCCTTCAAATAGTTCTACTTAGTTCACTCTTAAGAGGACCTGTGAAGAGAATAAACTTTGGTCAAGTGACTCCTAAACAAGAAAGAAGTTGGCAGCACATGTGCAGCCCATCCTCTTCCTCTGTCTCTGCTAGAGCACTACATCGAGAGGTGGCTCAGTCTCTCCATTCAGGAGGATGGGCTGGACACTCTCTGTCAGTCACGGCACCCATAACTATCTTGTGGCAAGGAGCAAGTGGAGACATGACTAAGGGAACAGACAACAGCTCTTTCTCTCTGGGAGGACTCTCTGAAGCTCCCCATTTGAGCCCCTGGTGACTGGAAGGGGTTTGTCGGACCAGCTCTCCAGCAGCTCCACTCACAGGAACAGGACACCATACAGGGAGTCTAAGGAAGGTGCCTTTTTAGCCTCTTCTTCTGTAAGTCCCATAAGTAGGGAGTCCCTGCAGCATGAATGAGTCTCACCTCATTTCATGTCAGGCATTTTTTGCTCCTTCCACTCATCTGTCTTCTGTAATTTTTATCTTCCTCACTGCCAGGCAATGAGGTCATCTGGGAGTGGGGTCATCCAGACCCCTGTGAAGCCCCTGGGATAGCTTCTGTTGACTAAATGAGACTGATTTCTCTGTTTCTCTTTTTGTTCACTTAGGAGAGATACTGTAAATGCCTCTACTACAGGGCAGAACAATTAATTGGTGGGGCTTTCTGCAGACAGTTAAAATAAATTATGCAGTTAAAGCAAAGCTGAGCTCTTCAATAGTTTGGGAAGTAACTTATTCAGGTAACTGGCCAGGACCACGGGGAATATGATCAACAGAAGAATCAATGTATCCGAGACACTTTATTGCTCCATCCCTAGTGCACATTATTTGAATGTTAAAACCACAGGTACTTAAAGAGAACCAGCATCCTCAGCTAAGGATCTCACTATTAGTAAGAAAAAATGCATAATTTCAAGGGTTTCTTCTTTATGTTTGTCCTTATTAAAAATTGTAAGGAACTTATGACTTCACTGTCCAGGCTGCAACAAACTACACCCACCTTGAACTGGCCATAAAGTGAGCATGGATTAGCCTGAATTTTCTGCCGTTTAGGTGGTCATAACTCTTTAAGATAAAACCATTCTTGAAGTCAGATCTTTTTGTGACTCCCAAAGGGAATTTAAAAAGGATCAGTTTTAACCAAGGCTAACCTTGTAAAATCAACTGTCTGAACACTAATATCTAAGACTAGGAAATACCTAAACTGACCTCTGATGGACAGAGCTAGGCCACTGTCTCAGAGCTCTGCACCTTGAACTCTACCTTGTGGACTTCGTAGTCCAGCAGGCAGCTTCTGCTGTTACTTCAAATTTCGTGCCCCAAGTAATTCTGGAAATTATATTCTCTCTTATTTACATAACAAGCTTTCTGATGTCTCTTAGTTTCCGTGATTCTCTGTGGGTGACATATCCCACCTAACTTACAAAACACCTTCTCAGTGTGTTCCTTCCTTCTGAATTCCTCATCTACATAGAAGAAATTAATTTAATTTAAGCCCAGACATCTTTGTTTGCTGCAAATTCTGATATCCAAGAGATATCACACCTGTGATCACATTGCCAAGACATGTTCTTCTTCTCTTTGCTGTGTAATAAACAAAACATGTTAGGGCTGGTATTTCTGAAGCCTAGCTTTCTTTACCTGATCTAATGCCTCCCTCCTTGGCATAAACAAATACTGAATGAATCAGTGTCCATGTCATGAAAGTTTTGGTCATAAATAACAGAAACCATAATAACCAGGTGAACAGTACATGCATATACATACAGATCATATGGAAGAAGCATGATTTTGAAGTAGGTGCACTGCCTGAGAACTAGGTCCACTGCCCAAGAGGGGCAGCAGTAACTACAGCTCATTAACCTCAGCAGATGGGACAGCTTCCTGAATTCTCTACTCCTGTGTGGCTCTATATTAATTTCTGTGCTAAGCACAGCAACAAAACCACTCAGCACAGTCATAAAATAACCTCAAAAGGTGCAGTCCTGTAGGTTGTGGGGTTTTTTGAGGGGGTGTATTTTTTTGGTAGTGTGCTTTTAGGCCAAAAATTCTGTAGGAGATAATTTTTCAAAGTCTGGAAGCTAAACATGTAAATCTTTTTTTTTAAGACCTTGGTTAGACAGAAGTCTTTTACAGAGAACACAGCAGATAATATGGGGTCTTTGTCTCAAAACCTGCTTTTCAGTGCTGCAGTGACAGGCAAACTGTTTGATCCACTACCATTTGATCATGTGAGACACAACTGTCTTTGGAAAACTAAAGAGGTAAAATGCAAAATGCCTCAGGCAGAGATAGAAACAAGGACTTCTATTTCTTGAGAAGCAAATGAATTGCTACAGTGCGTAACTACCACCATATGTAACTCCAGGCCAGGAGGAGGAAGAAAAAAATCAAGCAACTATTCTGAAATAACAAAGCGATTAAAGGAAGAACCTTCCCACTCCCATCCCCCATCTTTTTTACAGACAATCAGGCACAGAATCCGTGTAATTAATCAATCTTTAATTAGTCTCTTTCTTTTTCTGTAATGGAAAAGCAGCGCCACATTGTTTAAAATTCCTGCCATACTGTTGTGCTGATTCACCGACTCTATTGGTGGAAAATCTCTTTGTTTCCAGACACAGAAAGCAATCAAAACCCCTACTGAAGAAAGGCTGTCACAAAGCCCTACGATATGTCCGCTAGCATATGGACTTCAAGAGAAGAAACAAATGCGGATTTGGAGACAGATGCAGCTGCCATCAGAATATCACCATTTTAGATGCCACTTCTCTGAACTCTGTCCTGTCTATCTGGACAAGATCTTTGGGACAGGAATAACTATGTGTGTGTACAGCATCTAGCATGATGGGGACAGTGACCTCTGCTTGCCGGGAATGCTCTAATGAGGAGAATCAGTCATGAAAGCGAGAGACAAAGACTCCCATAATTTGCTAAAGCATACAAAAGGATCATGCTCAAAGCTAGGTTACACAACTCACAGCAGTTCATGCAGAACAGACTTCTATCTTTCCCTGTCTTCTGATTGGTGTCTTTATTTTGTCTGGTGTTAATTCCAAGGACAAGAGGTACCTTAGTGAAGCCTTGGGGAGAGGTGTAATATCACATATATGACTTGGGAAAAGACTTGTGCCCAGAAATAGTCAGGAGGCTTTGAAGTATCTGTTAACCATCACTTCTGTTATAATCAGTAGAGATAGCGTGATGTCTAACAAGGTCTGTGGAAATTGTACAGGCTGGGGTTAACCACAGGAGTGCAAAGCACAGGGGGTTATGTAGGAGCTATCTCCCCTCCTGCTCCTGCTTTCCCTTGCAATCCATTACAGGTAAATTCATACTAGTCTTTAACCAGTGCCAGGAAATATGTCTGGAAACTGGAATGTGAGAGGCTGTACAGCTGAAATGCCAGAAGAACCACGGGCACAGCTTTGGTCTGGGACAGATTAGCCCTCCTTCAAAACACTCCCAGGCACAACTCAGGGAGCATTCCCAGCAGGCAGCTGTGTACAGTCACCTTGTTCTGGAGCCAGAGAAAGTCTA